CCAGAATTGTAGTCCAACACACAACCCACTGTACCATGCTGGTTCTCAGGCTTGGGCAGCCTCATATTTTGTCTCGTTCCTCTTGGAGGACTGGTCACTTAATGAATATTTGTTGTAACATTGCTAAGCACCTGCAGCCGAAACATCAATCTTGTTCATCTTGAGTTGGCTCTCCATCTTACGGTCTTCCAAAAAACACTTCTGGAGTCTGTAAACTTTGCACTTGTTTGGATAGCAGGGACCTTTTTGCAAGAACCAGAACACCAAAGAATCCCTCTGGGAACCTTTTGATTTATATATAGGCTATTAATGGCAAATGAGATATATTACCTGGGTGATTTAGGAGCAGTCTTTTCTTTAACCTTTAAAACAAGAAATGAGGCCAGTTTTGTATCAATTAATAATGGATTGGAGCCACAAAAGGGCAAAATAAATAATAATAATAATAATAATAATAATAATAATAATAATAATATATTTATACCCCGCCTTTTGCTGTAGCAATCAAGGCGGCTTACATCTAAAATCAACACATAAACGTTCGTTGTGTTCCTCTTCCCAAAGCTCAGAAAAGTTACTTTTTACAATTACAACTCCCAGACTCCCAAAGTTGGACTGAACAGTGGACACCCAGCTATTTATTGAAAGGGATTTCCTGCTGTCAGAAGCATTTGTGGGAAGAAATAAGATCCGACATTTCTTCTACTGGATCCCTTCCAGCCCTGTATCCTCCAATTGTCCACTTTTGGCAGGAACAGTCCGAATTAATCCTCTTCCATCCCACTTTTGCAGCTGCTTTTAAAATGTCTCTTCCCCCCATGCTTTCCTCCTTTGTCTTTAGTTTACTTGTATTGCTGCAAAATGGGTCCAAAGTATAGTTTGCACTCTGTTAACTCAGGATGGGGAGAAGAGGGGCAGGATCTTTTCCTTCCCAGTAGACTCAGGCAAAAGCAAACTGCTGCAGCCTCTCCTAACATTCATCTTCTGCCTCATTAATAACTTTTGCCATCTTAGCCACACTATATGTGATCTCTATTTTTATCTGTGAAATGTTGGAGGTCATGATGTTCATGCACAAAGCAAGGTGACATAATTATAGGTACTATTGCAGGAAATTAGGGCTGCAAAGTAGTTTGCACCTAGCAAGAGGGAAAGGGGAAAAGAAGAAGGAATCTTGCCCTTCCCAAAAGGCTCAGGCAAAAGCAAACTGCTGCAGCATCTCCTAGCTTGCGTGTTCTTCCTCATTAATAATATTTGCTATCTTGACAAAAAATGCTGTTGTTAAGTTATATGTGGCTCTGTTTTTAATCTGTGAAATGTTGGAAGGTATGATCGATGCTAATGCATAAGGCAAAGTGTCATAGATATATGTCAGTGATTCCAAAACGCCAGCTGTCCAGGTGTTTTGGACTTCAGTTTCCAGAATCCCAGACTATTGCCAAGATGGCTGAGATTTATGGGAACTGAAGTCCAAAACTTCTGGAACACCAGAGTTTGGGAATCACTGTTATGTGTATTATTGTTGCAAATTAGGGCTGCAGAATAGTTTGCACTTAGCAGGGAGGAAAGGAGAAGAAGAGAAGGGAATGACTCTTTCCCTTCCCAGTAGACTCAGGCAAAAGCAAACTGCTGCAAACTCTACTAGTTTGTGCATTTCTCCTCATTTATAGCATTTCCCAACTTGGCCACAATCCGAAGGGTATGCAGCCCTGATGTATTCAAAATAGTAGATATTTGTATGTTGTTGCGGTTGCTGAATAACTCCTCTTTCCCTTTGTTCTCTTTGTTTCTTCCTTTCTCTTTTAAAACGCTGCCTTTGCAAATAACAGCTTTGAAGACCAGGTTAGGTAATGAATGCCATGCTACATTTCCCTTTTGTGTTGTCGAAATACTTTGTTTATCCAGAGACTCGGAGGAAAGGTGGCCAACTTGGCTTTTGCGTTTTGTTTTTTTCTTAGATATACCAGGAAGATACCATCCATTCCTCGTGGATGCACAACACTTTGCACGTCTTTTGCGCCATCAGCGGGACTTCGGGAGACGGTTACGGGTCGCTGAGATCTACGCCTGACCTTTGAAAGCGGACTTGGGAGCAACGGCTGACATTTTGCAGAACTCTCTCAGGAATATTTGGAAATGAACCTATATTATCCTTCAAACCATCAATGCAATGCACTCCATATTTTCCAAAGCAGAACTACTGGGCTTTCCTCGAATTGCTCACAGAGCAGACAGGAAAAAGTCTCCCTGCCATATATATAAATATATATAAATATATATAAATTATATATA